TCCTGCCCACGGCAGGGGGGTTGGACTAGATGACCTTTAGAGGTCCCTTCCAACCCAAACTATTCTATGATTCTATGATTCTATTTCCACACTAGCAACATCTATGAGTTTTGATATTAAGGCTTATCTGAGAAATCAAGACAAAAACATATCAATTGATTTGGGTTTTTATAAGCAAATAGAGCATAAGCTGTCTACATTTATGCTTTCTCTTTGCACAGAGGCCTTCGCCCTGAGTAGTACTATGATGTCACCCAGCTGAAAAAAAGTTATATGTGTATAAATGATGAACTGTAAGTTTAAACTGTGCGTTAAGCAGATTGTGAATTTATTGAATATAACAGCAAACTGAATGTTCATTCCACTCTGGTGAGATTATGCACATATGATATGAAGTGCAGATATGATATGAAATCTGAAGGGCCATGTTCTGTAAAAAGGGATTAGCTAGTAAGAAAGGAGAGCAAACACAGTTGGGAAGGAAATTCAGAATACGGCATTATACCCCTTCAGTTTAGTATCTCTTCAACAAGGGTCTCTTAGTGTGCTTTACAGGTTGTCCATATTTATCAACTCGTAATACTCAAAAATATTAGCCTTTCTACTAGTTAGAATCCAAATTAAACTGAAGTAACTGAAGTAACCATGACATCGTGTATTTCAGTCTATTTTTCTGGTGTGTATATATATATACAGATGTATTTTTGGAGGAGGCTTGGCAAGGATTAGTTTTCTCACTGTTGCTGTTCAGGAGATATCAGACTGAATGAATTTGGATGCTGCTGGAGTTCTGCAATTCAACATTTTGCCACTTGATGGCAACAGCAAGACACTTAAATTTGATCAAACTACCGAGATTTTAGATTAAGGTAATTTAAAGTGTAAATGTAAATTCTTCAAAAGCAGAAAAGGAAAAAGTTACACCTCTCACATTTGCATTGATAACTAGACCATATCAGAAGCCTGAGAATAATTCTGTGACAATTTCTCAGTTATCTTTATAGGGCTGTGAGGCGCATTGTTTGACCCCACCACTCTCCCTTTAGCCTCCCTGCACGTGAGGTACCTGCTCCCCATTTTGTGTAAACTCAGACACTCTAGAAAAGCAGGAGAGCTAATTGTAAACAGGCCACAGAAGCTACACAAGGAAACCTGCAACCCCATTCTTTGTAATCCAGTGCTTTTTGCAGGCTTCTCTCTTTATTACCTCATTACAGCATGCAGCAGAAGCAGAAGTGAGTGTCGTTACCTACAGTAGTGTACAAGCCAAAACTCCTTTTTACTGGGACAGCTTGTGGCCTTTGACCACCAATGCACATTAGAGGCATTGGCTGTGCTGCTTCTGCAGAATTTGATTACAAGCTACAAGGAAGTAGCAAGTTTCCCTGCAAGTTTCTTCCTATAAGTTTCCTAAGCACTAAGTAACAAGAACTGGCCCGTGCACTTTTGTAGGATAGTGGAGCACTTTTAAGTTATTTTAAAACCAACATCCAAGCAAAGTAGGCACTCTCATGTTGCACAGTCAAGCTGGGTGGTTCTGTTTTATTACCTAATCCATCCCCAAGAAAACTCCATTGACTGCAGCGGAATGATGCTGGCAAACAATTTGGTCCGCTGTGACTTGCTAGTCAAGTAAGTGTCCTTTTATGTGACATTGATATTGGTATCCCTGAAACAGCAGAAACACAGGCAAATTGTGGAGTAAAATTAAAAACTGTGCTTCGTATGGGGTAGGAGGCCTGCTGTGTTTTCAGTAATTCCTAGGCTGGCCAACCTCAAATGCTTCCTGGTTAAGGATGCTCTGGGACCCATTCACTTCATAGCAAGAGTGTTCCTCGTGCCGGTTGCTCAACAGAATGGACCATCCATGCACACAGGCGGAGGTAGAGATCACGGCACCTTTCTGGGGATTTGCTTCCTTAAGAGGAAGCAACCAGGGACTGCTGTGACTCTGTGCCCTTGTGCTAGCTGTATAAGGAGGAAGGAGGTTTTACACAGGAGTAGATCAAACTCTGGCCCCGTACATACTGAAAAGTACACGACCTTGGACTCTGAATATTTGATGAACAGCACATTGATATACCTTCTCCATTATTTTGCACTCACATCTTAACCTGAAACATGCTGGGTGGCTAAAAATATTTTATGGTCTATGCTTTGTCCTAGTTAGAGCGTTTTCTTTTCCTACAAGGTTGTATTTTCTTGGTCTTTGAAAGACTTTTAAATTGAAGGAAAGAAAATATCCTTTAAAACAGAAAGTTTTGTTTAAAACACACACAAAAAAAAATCTTCCATGTTCATAGTCCAAGGTCTTTCAGAGCAAATACTCCTCCTGCTGTCAGGGACTATTAAGTGGTGACAGCCATATGGAACCTTTTCTGAAAAATACCCTCCGAGTGGTGCTCTGCAGGCCTACCTGGGGGCTATTAACTCTCAGTTTGTTTACCTTATAGCCTGTGAGGCCTCCTTTGAGCCATTACTGTCTTTTGTGGGAAATGAATTACCAGGCATTTACAATAACTCTTTACACTTTCATGGGACAACTATGCCTTTGCCTTAAGTATGCACACTATGTATCCTTGTGCAGTTTTGCACTAGAATGAATCACTGCGTTTGTGCAGATGTGCTTTTATAAGTGCATTAGCAGTGGGCCACACACATATGCCCTCCCAGTCAAATGTACTGGAGAAAACTAGTTGCCTCCTCCCATCTAAAGACGTAATGAGTCCTCAAGTTCACATCAAATGAGACTGCAACATCTTGAAAAGCATCCAAAACCACACCCTTCAGCCATTGCCAAGAACCTAGGTACACACACTCTACATCAGGCTACAGCATTTGCAGCTGTCCTTCCAAAGACAAGTCACACCAATGAGGTTTTCGGTGGGTTCAGTGACAGCACAGAATGAATGAAAACTGGCTTTTTTCCATGTGGGTTTTAATCTGCTTTCACTGTTTATCATGCCACACAGCACTTCCATTCCTCTGGCTGTCCCCCAGCTCCCCAGTCCCTGGTGGTTCCCTGACCTGCAGCTCCCCGACCAAGCAGGTTTTAAGGTTAGGCAAGATAAGTGATTGCTTCCCTTTGAAATAATAAAGGGCTGCAGAGAAAGCCAGTTAAAGCATGTGAAACGTTTTATTCTCCAGTCATAATTTCTATCTAGAAAAGAAGCTGAAGGTCATGAGGCTCCCCACACTGCATCACTCTCAGACCAACACCACACCTGAGAGAAGAAACAGCCCTTCAGAGGCTCCTACCACGTGTCAGAGAGTAGAAAAATGGTGGGAAGTGGGAGCTCCTCATGAAGGTCACACAGGTTCCAATGTGTCTTTTATTACCGTTACTTAACAAGTGTGTCCCTGCACACAGTGCTCGCACTACATCAGGAGGGGAGCTGCAGAACTACTGCAGGCGAAGCCAGTGTTTCCATAAGGATACTCTCTCTCACATGAAACTTGGTTTATGCCTATTTTATCAAAAAGTGTTTGATGAGTGCCCACAGTGCACTCATTGCTAGGGAAATGGGATGGTGTCGATCTGGACCACTCCCTGGATTTGTTCTGGGGCTTTCCAAACTGGGAGCATAAGTCCCTCCAGCTTGAGTCTGACTTCTTTTCAAGAGACTGATAGACTCCATGTACTCTGTGGACTGAACACAAAGGGACAGATAACATAATACTTAGCAACTGTTTCTTGTGTGATACTGGCAGACTCCAGCAAAAGTCTACTAGAACTCCACTGAAAGCATCTCAGTGCCAAATTTGGAAAAGCTGCTATTTCTTTCTTCTTTTCCAGCCAGAGCTCTACCTTTCTATGCTGCCATCCATTCTGGGTGGCTTCAGGCTTGATTACCCAGTTTGAATTTTAAAAATATAAGGAACACTCTAAATAACTGTCCACCTCTGGAAATGCAAAGCTTTGCTGGCTGTTACAACCTGAGCTCACAAAGCTTCTCTAAATCACAGTACAGTGATGAAAATGCTTGTTCATCCTTATTTTATTGCTGCCTTAAGTTGAGATGTTATAATGAAAAAGTACTCTACAAAGGTACTGAAGTAGTTCTGCCATGCCAGAGCACAAAGCAGACTGACTGTCCTTATTTTTGCATATTTGTATCAGGAATATGTCCAATGAATGCAATGAAGAATGTAACAATTCACACTGTAACACAATGTAACAATTCACATTGTAAAAATGGAATGGAAATGGAAATTGAAAATACTTCTTAGTGTTTATTTTCAATTCACATTGTGTTACAATCAAATTGTAACACAATTTGTTGTGTTGACATTTGAAATTTGACATTTTCCTTCATGTCTACAGGAACAGCAGACATACAGCACCAGTTCTAACCACAGAAATGGAAAATCAATTAGAAGTATCTGTGAAATAAAGTTTTAAAGATTGCTGTCCTGTAAGTATGGATATTTCTGTAAAAGCGTTCTGTTTTCAAGACAGACACAAAGTTTGAATCAGTCCCAGATCATTATAAATGTAACAATATACAAATGGTTGTCAGAATCCAACACTTCGATTAAGTCCTGTTATCTTTGTAGCATCACACATTAACAGTAGATCTTTTGTTCAGCTCAGTTGAGGCATGAGTTATGCTGTAACTTGTGAGATATCACACCTCGTGTTGACTGCACTGAGTCCCATGGCATCCCAGCACAGATTTCACAATGAAATGCATGACTTGTGCATGTTGTATCAGAATGTGTGAACAAAATTGATCTGGCACTTGGAGATTATCTTCAAAACACCCATGCCAGTATGGAAAGAAATAAGCACAGGACTGTATTTAGATTCTTTGAGCAAGGGGGTATATTTCCTCTTTGTAACTGTGCAACACCTATTTTTACAGAGTCTAATGCAATGATGGAGTGGCCAAGTTGCAGCTCTTGAGTCACAAGTGACTTGAACAGAGCTTGGGTGCAGCTCCCATGCTACGGCTGTGTCATTAACCAAGCTACTGAGTAATCCCCAGCTGTGGGAGGAGGAGAGTTCCCACAGGAACTGCTAAGGCTGAAATGATGGAGTCCCCATGGGGCCCATTAACATCCCACATGGCTCTGTCCTCAACCTGAGCAAGGGGAGGAGCCATGAGACGTTATCACCATCTCCTGCTTGGGAATGAACCTGGGACATCCCTCTCCTCACTGAGAAAAACAAGGGGACAATATGAAGATTTTGGTATATGGCTTGTAAAATCAAGAAACTTTGTGTGATCACTGTACAAATAATAAAGCTTGAAAAAAGACTACCAGCAGTCAATCTCTCCTACTCATATATGGTAAAGACCCTTTCAAGCAAGACTTGGTAATTAAGCCTTCCTCATGAAATACATGAGATTTTGGAACTCCAGGTGAACCACTTAGATTAGTCCAGTAATATTGTCTTTCAGGCTTTTTTTTTTTTCATTATACCACAAAGAACCGTTAAGCAAATTAATTAAATTTTTAATCTTAGACATTTTTCTGACTTGGTACAATTGCCACGAGACTCTTAGCTAGTCTCAGTGATTAAATTCTTGCCCTTTAAAGTTAGTGTATTCTTTTGACTGCTTTTTTAAAACTTATTTGAAGCATAAAATAAGTCTCCATGGTAAAATATAAATAATTTATCAGCATGGAATGAATAAGTATTTTCTCTGCAAGTAGAAACAGGACATGTTTTCTGTTTTGCATTACTGATAAAAGGATTTATTTTTACTAATAGCACATACCATTGTTAGTTAATATAGTCCTTACTACACAAAAGCATAAGAGGATAGATTTTTCCCTCACTCCTTTTAAAAAGACATTCTGCACACCACTTGTTCTCGGTGCCTTTTCAGTCTTTGGCACCTGGCAACACAAAACATTCCTCATGGAATGAGTAGTATCAGGAAGAATATTGTCTGCACTGCTTACACATTGATTTGTCCCTAATGTATACTGATTGCACTGATTCAGATAAAATGTGGGATGTGCAAATGAACGTGGGTCACTTCAGGTAACTTATTATTTTTCTTCCCTAATATAGGCTTTGTAAACCACCAGACAGTTTGGCTAAGTGAATACATTTCACCTATATTATATCTTATCCTTCCTTTATGAAATAAAAAGGCAAGTTGTTCCTCTTACAGCCATAATTGCACAGTGCAGGTTCCTTGGCAATAAGCAGCAGCAACACTACTAGATGTTGTGGTTTAACCCCAGCTGGCAACTGAGCACCACGCAGCCGCTCGCTCACTCCCCCCTATTGGGATGGGGGAAAAAGCCACACACACGAGCAAAGCAAAACAAGGAATTCATTCACTCCTTCCCATCGGCAGGCAGGTGTTCAGCCATCTCCAGGAAAGCAGGGCTCCATCACGCGTAACGGTTACTTGGGAAGACAAACACCATCACTCCCAATGTCCTACCCTTCCTCCTTCTTCCCCCAGCTTTATATGCTGAGCATGACATCATATGGTGTGGAATATCCCTTTGGTCAGTTGGGGTCAGCTGTCCCGGCTGTGTCCCCTCCCAACTTCTTGTGCACCCCCAGCCTCCTCGCTGGTGGGGTGGGGTGAGAAGCAGAAAAGGCCCTGACCCTGTGTAAGCCCTGCTCAGCAGTGACTAAAACATCCCTGTGTTATCAACACTGTTTCCAGCACAAATCCAAAACAGAGCCCCACACTAGCTACTATGAAGAAAATTAACTCTACCCCTAGCCAAAACCAGCACATAGGCAAAAAACTCTCTCTCGAATGAAGCATGCAGTGATAGGTTTAACAGGTTAGCAGTGTTTGCCTAGGACACCCACTCTCCTAACAAATACTAATCTTGCTGACTTGCCTATGGGCTAATTGGGTTTTCTCAGCCGTGTTGTTCATGGCCTCTTTACCTAATGTGAATTAAAGTGTTTGGGAGCATCTACCAAGCACAGCTAAGGGATCTAAAGTATGTATAAAGCAGATTTATGAGACAGAAGCCTCAGAAAAGCCCAGCTTGATAAGACATCTCATTATGTCATGATGCACAGCCTCAGGAATGAAATTAATTTGGCTCCTGTATAAGGTTGTGACTTTGCTTTATACAGCAATTGGAGAAAGGCGTTTGCTCTCAGTAAGCTGCTGTATACAGTTGTGGTAAAGTTTAGAAGAATCCCAAAAGGGTGATAGTCTCTCTTACTGGAATAAGCCGCTGCTTCCATTTTCCTCAGAATATTTCAGGATTTCCCTGATTTTAGTAAGTTTTTTAACTATTCTATCATGAAAAACTGAAAGCTGAAGAAAATAGGCACAGGAACGTGGGCACTCCATGAAATCCCGGTTCTCAGTATCCCATAAAACTCTCCAGTTTAGCTTTATCTTCCTTCCTCCCAGAAATAAACATCTTAGAGGCAAATTTTGATTTCACAAGCACAAACTCAGTTACTATTAATTGGAGCTGTGCAAGAATCAGAAGTCCACATTTTCCTTCCCTTAAGCCACATAAAAGTAAATGTGAATTGATATGACTGATTATGTACAAAAGCTACAAAGGAATCATCACTGTGAATTTTTTGCAGGGTGCAAGCAAGAGGGGATTAAAGAACTAAGATACCGCCTTTCTGATTCTCACATCTCTCCCAGTTCTTGCAAAGTGTTATATTTAAAGCTAAAACTCTGTGAAATGCAAAATAAGGAAATCTTGTTCCTTTCTGTCCTTCTTCCTGCCAACTCAAACCAACCCAAGACCACTATGCCTGCCATTTCACACCTCTCATCCCTACCAGACACACATCTTTAGGTATGTCATGTTCCCAAACTTCAGATCACCTGAGGATCGAGATACTGGGATCGATGCAAGAAGTCATCAGCCTTTCCATCCCAATATCCCTACCAAGACTTTTGATGTGGTTGTTCTGAGGAAGACCAGAGGTAAGACCGCACTCTTTTGGTTTACCATTTATTCTTGAAACTTACTTAGAAACACTACTGAAGTCATGACTCTTTTCCACTGAAGCTTAACACAGCCAGAATCTGAATATTATTATATTTCATTGATCATTGGTCAATTTAAGAAACACTAATCATGTGTGGAGGTGGGCTTACAAAGCCTATTTTTGCACAACAGGAGGATCATCAAAGGCCAAGACCTATTTCCAGCAAATCTTAGCAGGTTCAGAATTACTAGCTAAGGGGGCAGCCACCACTGGCACTTAGAAAATACTTTAACTTCATTCGCTGTTCCCTCCATATGGTTTGACTTCCTCTAAGATCAGGACACTCCAGTTCTCAGTGACTGAAGGAGAAATCTCTGGTTAAGTACAGATAACCCAGAGCACACTCAGGTGACTTTTACCACTGGAAGGTTGTATTTAAAACCTTTGTGCCTTTTCCACATCTTACCTTTACAAAACTCAGAGTAGCTATTATGTAGTTAATGCTGACAGCATCATTGTGAGGTAAATAGGGAAATTGAGGCAGAAAGACTGGAGAGAAGAAGCAGTGATAGAACCAGGGTTGGAAATTAAGCTCTTCCAAGCATGCACGGCAGTTTCATTTTTATAAGACATGTAGTAGCACTCAGTTATTCCTCTGATGGTGACATTATGAATATAGAGCCAGCTTCACAATTCATCAAGCTTTATTGTTTGTTGTTGTTGTTTTTAAAAATCATGCACAGAAAATGCAATAAGAATCTTCCCTGCTGGTGTGTGAATCAATCCAGAGCTCCTGCAATTGGCCATGGGCAGATGGCCTTCTGCAGAGGCAGCTTTATCTGGTGTAAGATCCAGCCCTCAGCTGCTTGTCGCCACCTCTCTGCCTGAAACAACTAGCCTTGCAGATCTGGTGGTGCAGATAATCACACTGAGTGCTTCCAAAAAGGCAGTTGGGTTAACTTATGCTGATTAAACGGGTCATCTGATCTAATCCTGCTGATTTTCTAACAAAAGAGTGAAGATGAGTTCTGTCTGCAGATCCTCTCCCAAGGTAGAAGAGACATGAGCAGCAGCTCACAGAAAGAACCTCTTCCACCAGCACAGCTGTCTTTATAGTGAGCATATGTCTACAGCTTAAAATGCAGATCCATCTGTCATTCTGATCAATGGTGTTCCATTAGAACATGTTAAATATTTCCCCTATAGGTAATCCATATAGGCATGAAGTTGCCAGTGCTCCAACTCCCGGAAGAAGGCTGTGCACTGTCGGGACAGCACACGTACTTCCAAGTACGCAGTTCATACAGAAAAGAGCAAAATGCCTTCTTTTTTTTTTTAATTAAACTTCTCTGCACCTCTTTCATGGGAGACATTTTTACACAGAGAGCTCCTGTACTGTTCCAAACACCTGCAGACCATGAATTAAGCATCACGCATACAAGGAGTGAAAAGCTTCAGAGGCAGTTTTCAGCCACCTCAGCAATATATAAACAAGATCAGAGGCTAGCAGGCTGTCCTGTGACTGAAGTCCTTTAAGTTGTAACTAGCTCTCATAGCACCTAGCCAAGTAGCTCTGGAGATAAGAAGAACAAGAAGAAGAAGCAATAATAGCTGCTGACCATACATTTGGGAGAGAGGAAGGGGGGGCTGCATTCAGAAGCCCAGATTACACTCTGCAGCTCATCAAAGAAATGGGTTTGGGCAGCAGTAGATCTTTGCTCCTCCTTACCTCTTCACAAGTCCTGCGAACATACTGACAGGCTGGTGTCTCTATTTCCATGTCTTCAAGAAAACAGACGTCCTCTTTGTGGATGGTCTTTGCCTCCAACCTTGCCTTCCCCAGTGTAATGATGGAGACTGGGCTGGTCCCTAAAACAGAAGAGTGAATTTGTTCATGAATGATCACGTTTCTACTATTCTACATCTTGGCTAAACACTAGTTCTCCTCCCAAAGGGATGTAGCCTGAAGTTTGATGGCAGATAAAAGTCATGAATAGCAGAGGAAAAAATAGTGGTGAACAAAGAAAGATACAGCCTTTGTAGACACACAGTCTTACAGATGTGGCAAGGGAAACAATAAGTGGCAGTCCATTTTAAGGCAGTCTGTAATTGTGACTATGAAAGAAAGCTTATGTTCTGTAATGTTCTGCCCAGGTATGGCTACCATGGAGAACTTGATTCCAAGTTATCTGAATTGAGTTCAGCTGAATTATGTACCTGTTGAGTCTTCCACTTGAGTAGTAATACTGTACTGAAGACAATTTTCCACCACATTTTTACTTTTATTAGCATTTACTAAACAGATAATTGGGGGAGGGGAGGCAACACAACAAGTGTTATGTCGAACCTTTAAAATAGTCTTTTCCATCCAGCACACATATTTGGTTTATGCCTTACCTATTTCTTCTTATCCTTCAGTTTCCTAAGTTTGCTGAAGAAAAGGGTCAAATATACTATCCAAATCCAGCAAAGATAGTCGCCCCCAACTCCACTTTTAAAGAGCTAGAACATAACCTCTCTCCAAGAACAACCAATATGCTACAAAACACTGAAAGGGCTCTGGGGATCACAACATACAGTCGGGACTTCACAGATAAGCATTTTTTGTTAAATTAGTTTACTTGGGGTCGCAATGAAAGACCACAAAGTGTTAGCCCCTAAATTTCTCAAAGAAATTAATTTTTTTGTCATTTAGTAACAAAGGCCACAAAAACTATAAATTATCTGAGGTTTTTCAGGGGGACTGTGCATTAATTCTGATTTTTCTAACCAATAAAAATGTATGACAATAAATATGTCTCCATTAAGGAAGAGGTCCTATGAATTCCCTTATCCTGGATAACAATTACATAAAAGCAGCTGGCAGATTAGCTGGAGAACTAGGTGAAGACATGGAACTAGTAAGTACTGCATTTACTAAGAATCTTATGCTTCCACCACAAGTAATACTGGCAAGAGTATTACCAGATTCAGCTAGCAGAATTAAGCCTTCCCTTTGATAATACTTAAGCGCAGGGCAAGGCTCGCTCTAAAACAGAGGCAAAAGTTCAGTATACTAAATCAGTCCTGACACAGCTGGTTGACAGAACTTCTGTAATGGATTAATGACTTGTTCAGGGTTTGCAGGGGGAGAAGTTATTGTGATTATCTGCTTATTTTTTATCGTATCATTTAAAGTTTTGCTGTCAACACGACAGCAATTCAAACAACCTTTTGCCTTGAGAAGTATGAGTAACAGTCTCCATAAAATGAGTTGGCAGCTCTCATGTGAATGGTGCACCACTGCAGAGACTGAAACATATTGGCTAGATGTTCAGCTGGTGTTAATCAGGACAACCCCACTGAACTCATCAACTTACTGTCTTTACTGCACACTGTTTATTTGATAAGTGACTTATTACCATTGCAGACTATTGCCTCCTTACTAACTATACCAGTTTAAGTTTGGCAGAGTTTCTATGATTCATCCTCCTCCGTTTACGTGAGTGATTTGCCTTTCTTCCTTAAGGGTGCATCAGTAACATTATCATATTCTATTTTAATGCAAAGATTTACTCTAAAGAATGGGGGAGTTTTGATTATTGTCTTCAACAATTTTTATATTCTGTGTGGCCTGTATAAAAGTGAAAAGATACTATTTGTATTAAATGCTACTCATGCAAATGAAGCATAACATGGTATATATGCATAGCAAATCAAGTTGAGCTGCTTTTTGCTAATGCATCATTACCTGTAATGGCTTAAGCCATTCAGTGACACCTGCACATTGTCATGCAGAGTACATACACATGTCTAATTTATTCTAACTGACTAAGCAATTCTGCAGGTAAACCAGAAGGAACGGATTCCTGCTCACCCTTCCACAGCACTGCTGGCTTTACAGCATTTGCGGGTTCAAACTGCACAGAAATACAAGAAGCAGGGCAACTAAGTAAGATGCTGTCATTTTCTTATAGTCCAAAAATGGCCCTGGATAAAAAGTCCCCAAAATGTCCTGCTTTCTTTCTATCGGATTAAAAAAAAATCCAAGTAAGGAAATCCCTTTTGAAATGGCATTTACAAGTTTCTGATAATTGAATCCCTGTACCTGAAATGGAAAACCTGTCTAGCTTTTTCTCCAGTGTGATGAAGAAACAAATGTTTCACTTTATGATGATGAACACTTTAAAGAACACTTTCAACAGCTTGTCTCTGGAAATTAAAATCCAAACTAGCAACTTACATTAAATCAAAACTGAACAGTTTTATTGCCCTCTGGCTTCCAAAGTGCGATTGGCAGAGGCCTACCCTGGGCCATGCTGATTTACCTGAACAACATTATTTCACTTAAAGCATATATACGTTAAATATCAAACACTTGGATTGTTCAGCATAGTAACTGCTGAAAAACATTCTCTGGCTATAGCACTCAAATCTACTTTATGTTTGAACAGTTCCTATAGAATGCAGCTTTGACTCTGCACCAGTATCTGAAGCCTCAACAGTACAAATGATTAATACAGGGTAACAGTATTCAAGCAGTGGGTCAAACTGTGGTTGAGAAAGCTAAAAAGCCACATGCCAGTGAGCAGCATCAGTCCCACTTGCAACAGTTCCTAAAAGAAGTTAAACCACACTAATGCAGGTCTCCGTTTATACTATCATATTGCTTATGAGACCACAAATGGGAAGACAGATGCTTATAGAAGAAAGCAGAACAGAGCACAAGACATCTATACCCATCTACATCTTATGCATTGGGGTGGAGCAGAATATTTTCTTCTCCAAAGCGTAAAGACTGACTCTAAGCTCCCTATGAGGCAGGGCAGTAATGAATGTCTGGGCTGCTTTCCTTTGCCTGGGAGACCCCTAACTGAGCCATTTCACTAGTCTCAGGCAATGATCTGCTAAAATAAGCAGTCCCTGCTAAAATAAGAGACTTAGATGACAGTGTAAATCCTGTTACCTCCTCCATATAGAAAGAAACATTTCTGCCTAGTCTCTCACAAGTGAGACCTCTTGAAGGGTGCACTGCATGTTTACTTCAAGGTCAATGTCCCCATGAATCAATTCTGCAAGAACAGTACTCCTCCAGTGTTCAGATGCCTCCACCTTTATTCAGGGTTCCTACTGTAGTAGCCGGCTACTCAGCCACAATGCTGAGTAAAACAAAACCAGTAGCCAGTCTAGGTTAAGCAGCGTAAAGTGACAGAAAGCCCAGACGAGAAACGGGATGTGAGCCAAGAGCAGGCCACTCTGTCTCAGACATGCTACCAGAAAGTTCATTTTCTGGATACAAGGCCGCCAATAAACAAACTTCAGAACATCACTGACACATTGCAAACAGAAGCATTGTAGAGGGGGCAGCTTTCAGGAAGGCCTGAACTTGAATCCCTTACAAAATCTGCATGTTCCCTTTCCTACGAAGACTTCAAGCCCAGACATTTGGATCAACATACAATATGGGAAAACCCAGTTAGTCTGAGTAAGCCAGGCTTACCACTGGATGTAAAGGGTGAGGAAAGCAGAATTTTGTTGCACAAGCTTTGGCGTCAAGAAGCATGTCAACCTGCATGGACGGGCCAAGAGGGACAGCACTGCCTGGATGGATCCCTAGCTGTGAGGTTCCTTGGCACCAGACAGCACTGCTGGAACTGCAGTATTCCTTCTCTAAGACAGCAGCACAAAAACGTTTTCATGATTCCACAACAGGAGACAAAAGACCTCAGAGATAACATTACTGAGG